AATATGGAAATTTGTCATCATAACGTGCACAAAATCGCTGTTTCGTAATAATATATACGCAATTTTAACAAATATTTAATGATGTTTGGGGCTGTTTTCATTCAACCGTAGCTATGGTGTGTTTTCCTTTGACGTCATATAAGCCATGTTGGGAGAGTACATGAGAGTGTCGAAGCTCAGCAAAGCATAAAATTAGCAGAAATTCTTTTCAATGTATGGAATTTTGCCCCAACATGGTAACTGATGAAAACAATTTAGAGGAAGAAATCATTAAGGTGTAAAATGATTTTTTCATCAGCTGGCAATCCATTTGGGACTTTTCACAGTATTTTTAATTCACGAAAATTTACATAAAACGTACAAAATGACATACCTCGCAACAAGTATAAAACATGTGAAAATTGATCATCAAATTTACTGGCATTTCCCCAGTATAGTAGCGGCATCTTCTTTCATGTTTAAAGATTATTTTACACCTGAATGTTTTCTACTCTCATGTCCTTAGACCCAAAAAAAAATTTACATCTGTAATGTAATGTATGATAAACTTAAGAATAAATTTAAGAGAAAGGAACTTCTCAAACGACTTCAAGTAATATGTAAGTTTTAGCAAGTAAAAATGTTCGTACAATAAATGATAAAAAACAATCTCCAAACATTGTTTAAGATTTTTAGACATTAGGCTGGCTTGAAACCACTGTTTTTTGCAAAAAATTCGGCAATTTCGCCTCCGTACCTTCAATGGCGGCGCCATTGAGTTCTATAATAACTGGAGCGGCTAAGTGGACTGGGAACTGTTGTAAAAAACATGGCGGCCAACGGACGTATTTCCGCTGAAATGATCGCTTTGCAGAAAAATAATATTCTCGACCTCCCCCTGGTGTCTATAGTAAATTATAAAGAATTTTTCAAAAACAAACACGATATCACAGTATATGGATATCGTTAGTTCCATATTCTGTGACGATATTTTTTTTGGCATTTCTTTTATAATGCCAACACTTCAATCGTTCAATTGTTGGATGTCGTAGTTTCCACAAAAAGGAACATATCGCTTCTCACAGGTGAGATAGTTGCTTGTTTTGTTAGTCCGTCAACAATTGAAAAGCAATTATACATGCACTTGAAAAGCCATAAAATACATATTAAAGATCGTATTTTTTAAGACTGACTTGAACGCCAAATATACTGATGTTTTCCTGTTTATAAAACTCTGTATACTTGTACAATTCTTATAAAATTCTGTATACTTTTCTGTCATTTGTTAATGCATGAAATCGTAAATTTACCCATCTATTTGCAAAATAGTTTCCTAAAGCAAAAGACACTGCAACATTTTGCTCTGTATCAAAAATGTGATCTGGTATCAAAAAGAAATGATCAGCTAACGGTACCCATGATTTGGAGCAGAGCTTGTTATGTTCTATTTGCTGACAACATGCAGGGAAGATCAAGGAGTAAAGATGACTGGAAGATGTTATTGATTGTGGTCAAATTCTATGGATGGAGACAATGCATTCACTAAGGATGCTTGAATGCTTTGAAGTTAAAGTTCATGATCCAAAGAAAGATGGCAAGAAGGTTGTGTGTGTTTTGATGCTTAATGAAATGTCAATTCACAAACATGTAAAATGGAAGGCCATAAAGTTTGTGTCTATGTAAACATTTGTACTGAGATTGATGATGACTCGATGCAGATGTGAAGCTTCAAACTGTATAAGCCATTGGTTTTATGTAACTTAATGTTTAAATCATGTCATATCTTTGTCAAAATATTTTAGTTGAGTGTTGTTTGAATGTTACTAATATCTAATGCACTATACTGAAGCATTAAAGATTCAGTGATGAAACCTTTAAAGTTACTGTACTGTATATTTCTTATATATTTCTTATATTTCTTCAAGAAAAATTTGAGCTTATTTGCCTATTAGAGTACAGAATGGAGATTTATCATATGCATTATTGCTGCTTTTTTAAAAAAAAGTTTTTCACTTTTCAAAGCTTTTGAACAAATTTTTTGCTTCTTATTTCTTATCATGAGATTGATGATATAGAGGTAATATAATCCAATAACTTTCTAATTTCTAAAAAGCTTTTAAGCTTCTAGCATAAAAGTACACTATAGGAATGTAATTCATTTGGTTATATTGCCTTGCTATGACATATCTACTTGCACTTCATCATTCTTGTATGAACAAAACACCAGATGTGGATACTCAGAGAACAAAATGCACTACCAACTGCTTATGAAATTTATTATTGAGGTGAAGACTGTGTTAATCATTCAAATTATAGTGCACTTATATTGCAAATATAGGAAAAACAAAACAAAGTGAAAAAGAAAGGTAGAAGTATTAAAACTACAAATGAATTATAAACACCATTGGAAGCATAAGTGTTTTGATGATTATTTGTATTTTGCCCAATTCATATATCAATACAACAAAATCAAAATGTGCTACAACTTCACAAGTATTTGATGCAGTTGCACTTCAGAACATCACAAAAAGGTTACTTAAAGTAATTTCTACACAATATTGTTTGTTTTTATTTACCAAACCTATGCAGACTTGAGTCTTTTGAAATTTCATATGAAACTCAATTACAGAAAATCCGTAAATATCCAGAGATTTAATATGTACTTTTAAAGAAACAAGTAAAAATCCTACAATTGTGGCGAAAAAGCCATTGCCCATTGCATGAAAAGAAGCAAAATAGCAATGATAACAAATAAGCTGACTTCTCTCTGAACCGTGGAGATGAACTATGATATACTTTTTGTATAGACTAAAGAGTTTAATCGATCAAACAAGTTTGACGCTGGTAAGAAAACGACGCATCTGCATTCATACATGTGTAGCCGATATATAGGTCTTTCGTCGATAGTTATAAATGCATCCTCGTAGCAGCAGATAACTGACAACCACAGTTGACTCGCTGTTATGAATTTAAGGTTTTACCTTGATTTTCAACAAAAATTGCCGAATCAAATACACACATTTTCCTCTTGCCTCAGGAGGGAGTGGGAAATTGTGAAATTTTCGAAAAGCGGTCAATTTCGGTAAATCTCAGCGGCAACGGACGAAATCCGCCATGTTTTTACAACATCAGATATCAAAGGCCGAGATATTAGATATTATAGAACTCAATGGGCGGCGCTCATGCAGGCTTCAAAGATGGCGTCCAATTTAGCCTTCCAGTTGTTGTAGAGTTCACTGGGTTTAAATAAGGTCGAGATAGATAGTTCACTATACCACGACGAAAAATTGCATGTAATTTACAAACTCTTGGCGTCACGTTCATTTGCTATAATAAAATTTACAATAAATATTTTTTTATTATTGATTGAACTATGGACGAATAAGAAAATTCATATCTAGAAATGACATGAATGAAAGGCAAAAGTAAATAAAAAATGACTATTTTGACCAATGACATTAGGATGTTGATAGTGGTTACAATGGATGATAGTGGATAATTATAGACATGCTTTCAAAATGGCGTATGCTGAACAATTTTATTTTCAGTCAACTTGGAGCACAATCATTTTATGGCAAGAATAGGTAAATGTTGGCTGAACTGTATAAAATAAGGCGTTCAAGGATGCAATTCGGAAGCGTAAAAAAAGACTTGAGGCATATGCAAGAGAACTATCTTCACGTAGCAGACTGACATTTGTGGTGAATTCACTGAATTGCTCTGGAAGCTAACAGTTATTGGTTGTTATTCTGGCTATGTGAAACCAATCTATCTGCATGAGTTCTATCATGATTTTAAACAGCAAATCGATGCGTTGCGTATGAGTTGTATCGACCAGCTTACTACACAGTCAACACTTCACCAATTTGGAATTTGAAACATTTTGGTGATAAGAATTTTATACCGACGTATCCCTGCGATAAAAAGACTCACAAGAAAAACTGTTTTGTTCAGAGTAAGGTAAAACATTTTACTCTCTGATTGCCTAAATATTCTTTGAGTATTTAAAACTGGCTCATATAAGACCATACATGTATGTAGTTAATGGGATCTACATTTTAGCTAGCGTGTGCAATATTTTTATAAGTAAAACGATGCACGGTAGTGAGGTAACTTAGTGATTAAATGTACTTGAAAGCCGAGGGAGATTTTGTAGTAAAAGTCACAAGACTTGTAGCACCGAGGGACTTTAGCTAACCTGCCAGGGCTTTCAAGTGCATTTGATTGCCAAAATGTTTTAGTCAGTGCTTCACACACTGTTTATAAATTTGGATCTGCAGCTATTATTACCTAAGTGAAGATCTATTGATTGTCATGCTTTATTTTATCTCCATGTTTTTTATATTTTTCACCATCATAAGTTGAACATTTGAGTTACCTTGCATGAGTCGTTTTACTTAAAATATGTTCTTTAACAATTTTGGTTCATCATTGTTTTGTTTTCTTGTAATTGATTTTATTTAGTATTTGTTAATATTGCAACTAAAATATTAACTCGGTTCAGTCTCCGCTTGCTGAAATCAAGATGGCTTCTAACCTTGAACATTTCAAACATTACAACTCAATGGTTGAAACCATTGAACTATTTAATCAAGTTACATTTGTTTCATCATGTGCAATTCCTCTTTATGGATATCAAAGATATAGACAGTTATTCAAGAATGAAATAAAATATAGAATGTTTTCATTTGTTGATTTGACATACAGATTGGTTTGTTTACCTCCCAAAAGGGAGGAAATTTGTTCACAGCGAACATAAATGCAGTCTTTACAATGTTTTTTAGCTGTCTTGTCATAAATATCGAAAATGTTTAATGATTGATAATATTTTTAATTGTTTAACTAAATGAGTTTGTTTTATGCTTCATTAGAAACTGATGGAAGCTTTGAATAATTTTGGTCAAAACGGCAGATAAATCCTGGGGATGGGGATGAAGCTTTCTATGTTTACAGATGTATACCATTGTGAATTTATAATTTCATTGCTATCACAATTTATAGATTAATATAAAAATTTTGATGCTATGAGATGGTCTCATCAATGTGCAACAATTGAACTGGATTTCCAACTTCCTGAGAGATTCAACCTCACGCTAGGTAAGTTTTGCCAGTAAGCTTTTCGTTGAATAACCTCACTACTCTTGATACTTAATTTATTTAACCAACAGTGACATGATTATTTGTTTCTATAGAAACCTATTGTTATATATTTATATGCTTATATATACTATATACTTATATGCAGCCTGCTACATTGCTGAACACTGAAAGTCCCACCTGCATTCAAACTTCATATATATATAAGTATATATTACATTTAATATTGCAATGTTGCAGATAATTGCAATATAATAGTCCATGCATGTATCTCTGTGCATCCATCCCCCCCATGTCAATATCATTGATAATGGCTCACAAACATATGTAAGCCTGTGTATTATAGTCAGAGGATTACGGCACAGTTTAAGTTTCCATGAAATTGTAGATCTTTACAAATTGTAACAATTTAGTAATTTATCAATATTCTATTACTCTATTGACAGTGGTGAAGGAGATATAAAATTACATATTGTTATTATTCATCGAGCTATTGTAGGTTCAGTTGAAAAAATGATTGCTATTCTTGCTGAAAGCTTTGGTGGAAAATGGTGAGTGTTTTCTTGGCTCATGCCAGAGCTTAAAGCAAATGAAATGTCCTTAAAATGTTAAATTAAAATGATACAAAGTTTCTTAATTGTTTGGAAATTTTTTATCATTTTTACTCTACTTTACTTTATTTCAAAATTTTGACGCACTGCATTTTCTGTTATTTTCTAGGATTTTATGGCTTTCTCCCCATCAAGTTGTAGTAATTCCTGTCAGTAGTAAATATGATGATTATGCCGAACCGGTAAATTTAATTTGGTAAGCCTTAGATCGAACTTGCACAGGCTAATGCAAACTCAGCTATGGACAAATTGTTGCTATTTTATGAATTGGAATTTTTTTGTCCTTTTTTTTTTATTGACATTTTGGTCATGTTTAGATTCAAAAGAAGTTCCATGCAGCTGGTTATCGTGTTGATACAGACTTGGATCACGGATCAACACTAAATAAGAAAGTTCGCAATGCACAACTTTCACAGTACAACTTCATTCTTGGTATGAATAAGTCTTTTAAATTATTTTTATTTACTGTACAAATAAATAGAAATTAAAATGGTTTGGAACCACTGTTGGTGTTCAGAGTTTACTGACGTTTCCACAACATTAGTCAGGTTCGCCGTATTTGTTCTCTAGACGTCATGACAGAGAGGAAAATATGTGGATGTTTTAGTTTGTGTGGTATACTTATTAATTGTTCGCTTGTAAGCCGTTTATAAGGTGCTGATATTTGTATTCTGTTCAATGATTTTGTTTTGAGTTTGTTAACCTACTTTCTAACGTAAGTCGTTGTCTATAGTCAGTGCTGTTTGTAATGTTGTGCATTGTGATGCTCACTTGTCAGTACTCGTTGTTCTTGGTAGTCAGTTGATGTGCGAGTTGTAAAATGTAAGGTATTATCGTTTGCTGTTGTTGGATTGTTTGTTGTTTGTGTTTTGTTTGTTTGTTTTGTGTTCATTGTCTTTTAAGTGTTGTCTATTTTAAAAGCAAAATAGATGTTCATTTTATTACTAAATGCGATTGGTTAAATGGTTTTATGTTGTTTTTAAACAGTTGTTGGTGAAAAGAGACGGTCTCAGACACGGTCAACGTCAGAACACGTGACAACAAAGTACTCGGTGAAAAATCGGTCATGGCCGTGATCGAACGCTTGCGAGATTTAGTCAGCTCACGAAGTCTGACAAGCGAAGATTTTGAAGTAAAACAACATTTTATGGTAAAGATAAAATGAATTTACTCACAAAAATAAATTTGAATGTAAATCCCATGATGCGTCGCAATTATAGAAAAATAGGTACGCGTACATGCCACTGGTCACTGGCAAACTGGCGGCATTGGTCACTAATACTTTATCAGTGGTGGTAATATTGATTTTATCGTGGTGGTAAATTCTTCCATTGGTAATTTATGGCGATAACCATCAGCAACTTTTCAACTTTTACCATCAAGTTTTCACTCAAACGAGATCGCTTCTCTTTCATATTTTGGCTTGTTTCTTGAGCTAGTAGGAGGCTGTGTGCGTTGATACAAGAAAAACTTTGTTGTGCAGAGGAAGGTAAAGATATTTTACTCGCAGAATTACTATATATTTATCAACAAAGTAGTTCATACTACAGCGATGAAAAATATAAAGCGTCGTATTTAACGCAAACCTTGGTTAAACCAGGGTTAGTTGACACATGTGCACTTGTATAATATGTCCAAATGGACATGTTTTGTGGAATTCCCTTCATTTGGTAAAATATTATCGCAGTGGGCCAAGATCGTCCCTCGTTTTGACAGTCATTTGCTATTCGTACTGGAGCTCTAGAATTTTACTGTTTTAGTGGTAAATGTGACCAATTCCTCATTCGTTTTCTTGTTATTGTGTGATGCTTAACATAGCAAAACAAAGAGTAGCTATATAAATGTAATTTTCCTGCCACACTTACAAACATTTCATATGTCAGCTGCAAGACCCGTAACAGACTGTGACAAATTTTTTGTTTGGTGAAAAAAAATTAGCAATTAGCATATCTTGTCGAGTCTCCATTTTGAATATCCATTTGAGAAATGCTTGCAAGAATATGGGCTACAAGATTACAAGAATAAAATGCGGATTTGAAACGAAAGATTAGAATGCACATTGAACTCCAAAAACAATAGGAAGTAGGCTTTATAATGTGACTACAATTGACTACAGTTCATACATTGGTTCAATGGTTAGGGTATGGATTAGGGTCAGGGTTAGATTATGGTTAGTGTAAGTGTTAAGGTTAGGGTTAGAATTGTTTAAAAGTTTCTTATAAACGTAGAATTAGTCAAACTCATCAACACTTTGTTATGCCCCTCGTAATATCCGTGACAATGTTAAAGATGTTTTATTTCTCTTCATAACTTTGTGTCTGCATATTTTCTACATAAACAAACTGCTTTAATATTTATGACAGATATTATAATTCGTAGATCGAGGTAGAAGAACTGCTTGAAAATGAAACTTCCAACATTGAAACAAAATCAAGCATGGCAGAAGAGAAACAACGACGCCAGGTTGAAGATAGCTTGATGAAATTGAACGTAGTTGAAGCACCTAGCATACGCTCGAGAGTTTTGGATGAGGACTCGTCAACCACTGAAAACATGAATGAGTCCAAGCATGTTTACGACGATAAAGGCTCTTGCGAGGTAGGCTGTTGCGACATATCGAATTATCGATAAATATCGGGGTTTTAAATATCGGTTTATCGATATTGGTTTTCGGTATATCGATATATCGATGTACCGAAAATATCGAAAAATATGAAAATATTCGTTGTTACGATATATATAGTTATTATACATAGTTTTTAATTGTGTTTTGTTGGTTTTAATAGCTTTATAGCGGTTTTTAAATGGTTCTGTATACAATGTATTAGACAGACAATCTTGACCCAATCACACGTGCGGGGTAATTGTCGGCTAAGGTTCAATTTGATCTATTTATGAATCATTGCGAACAACACTACAAAAAAACCCCAAAAATATCCGAAAATATATCGTCATATCTATATTTTTTTCGAAGCGGGATTTATCGAGCACAAAAGCGACGACACTTATCAATGGTGAAGGATTGTCCCTGTATGAAATATCTAAGTTATAAGATTCGGCTATGAAATGCACACTAAACGGCAAAATATGACGGAAAGTGGGTTTAGGAGGAAGGTATGCGAAATATGTTCTATCGTATGCCAGCAAAACAATGTAAATTTCTTGAAACAACGAAAATATAAAAATTCAATCTCTGCCACGAATATTTGTTAATTTGTGCAAAATTGCCATTTGACCATAGCTGGTGTATGGTAATTTCCTCAGTAAATATTAAACTCATGTAAATTTTTCTCCCATGACCACCCTAAAAGTGAACTTTCGAAACACCATAAACACTACAGAATTGTTTGAAGATTGTTTTGGTGTCTGCTTATGAGAGGTTGTAAATAAGTTAATAGTAAGAGTATTGGCAGGGACCTAATAGCAGTGTCTGCTTTCGGGAGGTGTCCGTTAGTAGTAAAGTTCTGACTGATTTTGCTTATAGTTTCGTCTATAAAGTTTCTATAGGGTAACTAGTTTTTATAAATGAGAACAAGTAGTTGCGTTCTGTTTTTTGGCTTCTTCTGTGCTGCAGTGAGTGTTAATTCTGTTGAAAAGTGTTCGAATGTTGCTTATTTTGTGTTGTGTGGAATGATTACGGTTGAAATCAAGTATTTGGTCTGTAAGGGTATTTATGCCGTATACTTGTTTGTTTAGTCTTGTTGTGTTTTTTGTCTTTAGTGAAGGTTATCTTCTTTGTAGTATTTTTATGGTGTGTAGCATTTGTCCAGTTTTGGCTTTCTTGACTATGGCAAATATCGTCTTTATATCTATTCCATAGTCTGTCTGTTTCATCTGTGCTGTTGGTGACTGATTGTGTTTCGAGGTTTTGCGACAGCTTTTGCGAGGAAGGTGTATAGTGGTGACCCCATTGATTCGCTGAAAGTTGTCTATAGTATGAGTTTTAGAAGAAGAATTCAGTGGAGAGGCAAAGGTTGAGTAAGTCTAGGATTTTATTTGTCTAGTTGTGTTGTTTGGCTATGTCTAATGGTATGGATGTGAAGAGTGATGTCACATTGTAATTAGATATCATGATTTTGTCTGGTCAATAGTTCATATGTATGTGATCCTGGAATTAAGAACAAGAATTGGAATGTACGACCTTTAAGAAAGTTTTTGAAAACATGGGAAAATACAATTCACCAATCAAGTGAGTTCAATAAGTGGGAAATAAACGCATGAACAATCTTTGAGATTTAGGTGCGTGAAATATAAGTTTTGGAATTTAAGTGCTTTAACTATAGTCTTTGGATGTTAGGTGCATGAACTATAGTCTTTGGGAGCTCTTTCATGAACTATAGTCCTTCGGAGTAAGGTGCATGAACTATAGTCTTTGGTAATTAGATACATTAACTATTTTCTTTGGTGTTAGTTGCATGAACTAAACTCTTTGGGAAATAGACGCATGATCTTATAGTCTTTGCGAGTTACGTGCGTGAAATATAGTCTTTGGGAGTTAGGTGTATGAACTATAGTCGTTCCGAGTTTAGGTGCATGAAGAAGAATTTTGGGAGTTTAGTCTTTGAAGTTGGGTGTGTGAAAGATATTCTTTGAAAGTTAAGTTTGTGAACTATAGTCTTTGGGAGTTAGGTACATGAACTATATTGTTAAGATGCACGAACAATATACATATATATAGATTTTATAGCCTTTAGGTGCATGAACTAAAGTCTTTGTGAAATAGACACATTAGCTATAGTCTTTGGGAGTTAGGTGCATGGAAAATTTAACTGTCTTTTCAGCATATGAAGTTACCCCCACGATGACACACACACTATGATCAAACGAAACATTTTTCTTGCGAGCGCTTTATTAGCGATTAGAACCGATGGAACTCGATTACCATTTCATTTATTTCAACGGTGTCATGAGATCGTTTAAGTCGCATGAACTATAGTATTATAGAAATAGACGCATGAACAGTCATTGCGAGTTAGCAAAATTACTTTGTGCTCAGCAGTTCGAAGTAGGTGGCAAACTACTTTGAAACAACTTCACAATTTGCTAAAATTCTAATTCAAATTAGATAGCGGGGGGACAATCTAATTTCATAGAAAAAACCAATTGTAACTGAGCACGAATCTAATTAAACGACGACCTTTCCAATTATGAAAAGTAAATATACATGCGCGAAAGCGGAACGTATTCATAACGCTTCTTCTTGTTTATAGACCAATGTTTCCAGTTTGGTAAGAACTGATCTTAGTGACTCCTTAGTGACTCCTAGTGACTCCTCAGTACAACATTACGTAATTTTTATTTCAGTTGACATATTCGTCGTGTTTTTTAAAGGCAACTTTTCAAACGAAGTTTGTGGAGTTGGGTCATCCTCCAGTTGGATGTTGCTCTCTAACTGTACCTAATTTATTTGGTCATTCACAGGTACACGTGACTTGTTTATATTAAACGGAGGCCTGGGCACTAGGTCATATTTTGCCATGTTATGTATTTGAGTTGTATCCACGCCTATTGATCACTTTATATAAACATTAAAATGTTTTCTTTTCTTGAACCTGAGAGGATGTGTTATGTTCTGAGGTGTTAAAATTAACTGTGAGATTGAAAAGTAATTAAAACTACGAATAGCTTTATCTAAGTTCCCAAAATGCTTTACTCCTATCCCTACCGCCTTAAAAAAAGTGTATCGTGAAACATAATTGTTGTTTTTATAAAAGAACCGAGATGCTTTAAAAAAAATTCATTTTGTCTTACGGTGAATTTCCTTTAAATCAGGCAATGTCTGTTATTCTATGCAACACGAAACTCGACTGCGACATGGCAAAGGAACGCGGAATTGTCGCAGAAATTTTATCTTTCAAACATTTCGAGGAGGAGCTCAATTCACTTTTGGCGAGATCTTCACTAGTTTCTAGACAGGTTTGTGTGTCTATTTTTACGAGGGAGAGAGATTGGGCACTATTGGAAAGGAGAGGAAGGGGGTGGGCGGAGCTTAGCAACTAGAGAGAGGACACGGACCTTTGAAAATGCAATAGATTTCTATTGTTATTCATGGACGTTCACGTCGAAGATGATGAAAACATTTACAGTTTCGAACTTTGAAAAATCCCATGTCAGCAAATAGTAAAGCAGCATATTTAATATTGTAGTGTGAGAAACAGACGTTGATGGTCAACGGTAATATACAAGAACTTGAGGATAAAAATCACGAGGAACGCGATTTGTTTCAAAAGTACATCAGCAACATGGCATCGTAAGAAGATGGTGGACGAGCTTACAGGAATGGCTTACCATCCAGGTATACTTGCGATCGGACTTATAGCGCGTGCAAATATTTGTTGTACATATAGGATATTGTGTCCCCCAATGATCCGTTTGTAACCTTTACGCAGCGGAATTTGTAGCGTTGTTGGTGTAAATCATTCGTAACTTGAGTTGAATAACAAAACATATTCGTTCATTTAACCACGATTTTTAAAATCTTTACTTTGGAGGAAAAAATTGCGTTTTGAATCAAGTTCCAAAACATAGCAAAAAAACTTTTGCTGGAAAATTTCGAACACTCGTTCTGTATCGTTCAAGTCATTGAGACTTCAGTGTTTACTGCTGGCGTAACGGACTTCTTAGTCGCGATAACCTTATTTTCTTGCGCATTTGTTGAAAATTGATGCAGTTGTTTAAAAATAAGTGTCATTAATTAACATGTTGTCACGTGACATCAAGTAGATGTTTGCGCAGATGCTTTTGTACGCTTAACACTTTGGTGGAAATGGTTTTTATCAAACTGAATAACATACACAGAAAGAAAATGCATCGAACATTTCATAAACAAGAATCAACTTAATGTTTCAACTACATTTTGATTTGCGTTGTAAAAGTCATCACTGCTTGCGCGCATTCCTCCGAGAGCCATTTTGAGCAAGCACTTCGCATTCTTTATTATTCACATCGTGAAGTTTCTCCAGCTCAACTGAGCAACATAATTTCTTGGACAATGAGAGCGACTGCAATGGAGAGAAGCATTGTATGGTTAAATGAAACGAAGCAATAACGGTAAAGTCCAGATTTGTGCTACCTTCGGCGGCAACGCAGCCATGTATTTCATTCTGTTGTTAATTTCTTTTCGGCTTGAGGAATAACTTCTGTTACCAAACCGTAGTTACAAGCTTCGACCGCAGTCAGTTTCTTTTCCAACGAGTAACATCTCATTCGCCTGAGTGCAGTCATACCCATTCAATAGACTACCTTTCATACCCATTCAATAGACTACCAGTCATACCCATTCAATAGACTACCTTTTCTAACCATAACCAGCCATTTATTCAGTGGTTTGTCTTTAACCATTACCAGTCATACCATTCAATAGAGCACCTCTTCTAACCATGACCCGCCATTTATTCAAAGGTTTATCTCTAACCATTACCAGTCATACCCATTCAATAGGCCACCACTGTATAACTAGTCAATTATTTTAACCATTGCCAGTCATTCTAATTCAATTTATATATTGACAGATGTACAATGAGTTGATTGTCGCACTAAAGCAAGCAAGAGATGATAATTCGGTTGTGACATTAATAACAGGAGCTGGAAAATATTTCTGTAGTGGCAATGATCTCACTAACTTTATGAACATTCCTCCTGAAGGTCCAGAAAAACTTCCTGCTGATAGTAAAGAAATATTGAGGTGAAAAGCAACAAAGATTAACCTGTTTCACATGAAAGTTCATCAACATGTCTCCCTTCATAATTTTAGAGAATTTGTTGCAACTTTTATCGACTTCCCAAAACCCATCGTGGCTGCAGTCAATGGACCAGCAGTTGGAATATCTGTGACAATACTTGGTCTAATTGATATCGTATATGCTTCTGATGTTGCGACATTTCACACACCCTTTATGACGTTCACTGATCTGATAATAGACTTGATATAGCTTCTATGGGTAGCAAAAGTGAAGCCTAATTATATATGCAAAATGCACTTCCAGGTACCACAAGAGATACAAATTTCTATAGAAATGTATGGCGGATAACTTTTATATACATAGATTTTCGAATATTTAAGGCATTTCGTGACCTTTTACTTATCTCAAACATCTGTCATGGATAAAACAAAATATCGGCGTTCGTGTTTAATTGAAAATTGCGCGTGCAAGAATCGAATTTGCCCCATCGTTGCGAAGGCAAGATAATTCACAGCTCATTTTCCAAGTTCAGAGGCAGTTATGATCTAGAATGAGTTTCGATGCTTAAAAAATTCGTTTTGTACCTTTCTTTTATCATTTTTTATTATCTAGACGTATGTTACTTTTGCCGTGACTTCATTAGCAGGGTACTGTTGTTTTAGAACAAGACAAATTTACTAAGCTTTCTTCCTCACTTTATTCTTATTTTCATTTCCGTTTTTATTTTACAGAGATAATTTAATCACCACGCCTAATATATAATTAGGCTTCACTTTTGCTACCTATAGAAGCTATATCCAGTCTATTATCAGATCAGTGATGACGTTAGGGCAAAGTCCTGAAGCTTGCTCTTCGTACCCATTGAGTTCTATAATAACTGGAGGAAAAAGGCCTGGACCCCGTGGTCAAAAACATGGCGGTAATGGCAGATTTTGGTTGTCAAAACTTCCACTTTGAGAAAAATTTTAACATTCGCTCCTCCCGAATCCGGATCTCTATTACTGCTTATATCAATGACAACCAGCGAAAACAACCACGATACCGTAAGCATAAAATATTGAAAATAATGCTACAGGTTTTTGTGAAATAGACACACACATTTAAATGAGGTAAATCTACTGTAAAATAACGTATATTTTTCAAGTAATGCTTTAGCTATGTTAGAAATAAATATCAAACGGCATTCTTTACACTTTCAATGTGTTGTTAAGCTTTAATGCATAATCCCATGCAAAATACTTGTGTTTTTGACTGTTTGATAACAGCTTGGTGCAACTGTCTTTCCTGAATAGATGGGTAAATCTTAGTTAAAACGTCCAAAAAGGAGTTAGAAAAAGTTAGCTTACCCCTACGACTTAAGTCGACTGGAAATATATTATAAGTAGGTATGAAATTTTTTTTTAGTTTTTTTTGGTAGGATTGATTCTGGGTGTCTTATAAGGTATTATGATGTTTTGATAAATCTACTGAGAACTTATGAAGAAAATATCTTGAACTAGGAGAGCAAAAGAACGAAATTCAGAAATTCTATAATCATGTTGCTGGTTCTGTTTTGAGCCAAGATATTAGAAACTGGATTGTCATTGACAACCATGGATCTACTACTGAACAGAACTACATTAATTTCCCATTGAAAATATGATTTCTTAAATTAAAGTGCATTGGTTTCTCTGACATAACACTTTTCTTATTGCTGCATGAAGACAAACCTGTTTAAATAATTATAATGTAGGTGAAGATTTTTAGCATGTTGTATAATTGTTATTGTACAGTCATTATTTATAATATTATGGCCTTGTGTAATGTATGTCAAGAAGAACATATTAATTCTCAAAATGCTAACCTTCTTGCACTATTTTCTCTTGTGTCCTTACAAATTACTAGTACCTATACTAATTTTTTCTAGGTTCAAACAACTTGACAAACTTTTGAATTTTACATTATGCCTTTGAATTTTTCTTTTTGTCTTTTGGTAAAAAATATCAGTGAATGACTTAAAAATCAAGTTTTCTAAAATAGTATTTTGTACAAAGAAACTATACATAATTAGAAAAGTCTCATGTTGAAGACAGATATCACTTCTTTTACTACATTGCTACTAAATGATATCGTTTAAATGATATCGTAATTCTTCAAAAGACATAAAAAGTTCTATGCCATCAATTTTTGCTTACATTCAACTTCATTGCAACCAATGCATCTTATGTGAATTTTTAATCACCTGAAATTGAAAAACGTATGGATTTTGACAGATGATGCAGTACTATATTTAATGTTTCATGCATGTCATCATTAGCTTTTGAGCAAATATTTCAAGGTAGGAGCATAATTTGGCATATTATTGAACAAAGTAGTTTTATCTTGATTTTGATGTACTAACCTGTTTACTATAACAAACAATTCACTTACAGAAACACCGATGGCATTTATAAAACTTTTAGCATAAAGCAAACCCTTAAACACCATCATCATGATTGTTCATAATCTGTCAAATTGTCCAGGCTAGCTGTTTAATACAGGTATTTTTTATTGTACGACATGCACCAAAAAGTTCATTAATTAATCCTGCACTGCATTTGATTTCAATACAGCTCTGTTCTTAATATTTGCTTCATGTTTTCAGAAAAATATCATGAAAAATCCTCTATTTCTTGGAGGTAAAGTCAGTTGAAACAAGGAGTTTTAAGACATGCGTATCTCGATAAGAATTGGTTGCTTTGCCTCGTCTAGCAAGCGATTAAGTAAAGAACAAATAAGACTGGATATACATAACTTAAATTATAACTTAGAAGTAAAACATTCACAAAATATATACCATCACACTTCAAGTATTGACTTAAAACAAAACACTGAACACTTTAAATGGTAAACAATCTTACGTTGCTCACCGGTGTCATGAAATGTTTTCTTTTCTGGCATTACTTCAGCATCCGTACACCAAACAAGTTTGCAGCATGTTTTAAAATAAAATTTCTAAAGTTTTGTGCTTCGCATTGAAATTTTATATAATCGCAATTGTGGTTGTCAAATCCGGGTGGGCGAAAAATTTCATTTTATGAGCCCGCGTCTTTCCGCTGACTTTGACAACCAAAATCCGCCATGTTTTTGACCACGCGGCCGCGCTAATAATTTATAGTAATTTGGTTGACGTTTCCTCCAGTTATTATAGAGCTCAATGTTCGTACCTCTTTCCAAAGATCATGGGTTATGCAAAGGACGTCACATCTACTATCTGTCCCAGTCCACTTTCAATTAACCCTGTCATATTGATGCTGGACGAAAGTTGGTTTCTTGTTTAACATCCTCCTAACACCATTAACCTCCTCCTTTAACATCCTCGTTTAAATTCAAAACTCTTTTCATCATCACAGCATGAATGCCGTCAATTTAAAATTCATATAACAAACGTCCTCGACCCATTCTTTGGTTCTCAAAATAACGGCCGAAATGTTTTCGTTCAAGACGAAAGGTCAATTTCATTTTGGCTTGGTCAAAGTCAGTTTTTGTATCGTCACATTAATATACATAATTTTCGTCAATAATGTGAAAAAACATTTTTAACTAAGCGCTTCTGACATCACTACGCATGGTCTCACTATAATATTGAAATCCTCGTTACGCAAAGCATAAAAATCTATTGTATTTAATTATTGGTGGATGCCCTTTCTTTGTTTGTTATTCCCTTAAGACACACATGAAAACCAAGAATTGCTGTTTTCAAAACTATTATTAATGTTCGCCTGATAAGATGAAGACAAGAAAGAGCGACACGCGGCTTTCGCTGAAAAACGTGGAAAGTATATTTGGAATGTGAGTTATATTGACGTCGGACATTTCTCGTTTTGCTTCTTTGTAACATTACTCCTTTTACATTTAGGCAAGGTCAAAATTCGTTCGTTGAATTTTGGTGAAGAAGCCATTATCAATGAAATTGAAAGCGATGTGGTAAGTTTATGTTATTTTTCTATATCTTTAGATGATTCTTGGCTCGATGTTTTTCTTCAATCATATTTAGCAGATATAATCACCAACAACTTGATTTTCACGTTTGCTAGCTTCAGGAATACGTCTAAAAAGATATTGTGATAAAAGTCATCTCATAAAAATCTATTGTATTTAATTATTGTTGGTGGAAGATTTTCTTCGACATTTCCACCGGCTGCTGGTTCAGTTCATTAAAAGTTCCGTTTATTCAAAACCATTTGAAATATGCAACAAAGGACAAATACTCTGCAGCAAGGGAACGCATCTCGCAAGAAGCCGCAAGTCTCTCATCAATTTTCATTCAATTGCTTCAAGGTAGTACAATCATTGCGATTATTTAAGCCTCAATAAATAGATTTATAGAGTAATAATATTACTTTAAAACAAGAAATTCTCATTGTAGTTTTGTCAACGCCACAAACGAAGATAATGTTTACGAAGCTGAAAGCCACATGTTGTATGTACTTTGCTCATTATTACTTATTTACTAGGAGTTACTATCGCAAGGGAAGTGCTGCCCCTCCACCAAGTAAGGTAAAACAGTTTGGAAACTGCTATTGCGTGTTTTCCATCATTTATCATCTGCCATAAACAATACAATAATGAATGGTAAAAATAAAAATACAGCAAGAAACCGCAACAACTCGTATACTTTGTCATTGCATAAAGACAAGCTAATTGTGTCATCTTTTATTTTCAAATTGTCATATAAATCAATTTATAGAAGTAGATGCAAGAAGTAACACTGTATGTATGTATAATTATGCTAATTTCAAAATGGGATAATTGGATGAACAGTTTTCAAAGCTCATTTTACAAAAATTTGCATATTGTCATTTAGAACTCGGCCAATAACAATTAAATCATGTTAACCGGAGCTTAAATTTGATTTTGTAAAATATGATTCTGTAAAAAAGCCACATGGTTGATGTAAACATTGTGGACATTTGAACAGATTTTAACCTTGAAAAGTTTTTTAACTTTGAAAAGACATATGGTTCCTATTGAAAATGTTTCATATTTGTCAAAAGCTTAAAGTTTTGTTTGCTTAAATATTTTAAGACAATTCACAATTCTGATTTTGTTCTTTAGGTTGAAATAAAAACACGGCATGATTTCTTGTTTGATTTGTGTCACTTTCTTTTAGACTGCTTTTTGTGAAGCTCATTCGCCTTATTAATTGTAACCTGAGAGATAATTGTAACCTGAGTCTAGCGCAAATCAATTTTTTGCAATACAACCAATACAATATGATGCATGGTTTACTCGCCATGTTTAATCATGATCGTGACTAAAACACCACACGAGTACATACGAGTACATACGAGTACATACGAGTAACACACGAGTACATACGAGTAACATACGAGTACATACGAGTAACATACAAGTACATACGAGAAACATACAAGTACATACGAGTAACATACGAGTACATACGAGTGACATACGACTATTTTCTGGTCAACAAATGAGAAACAACACAATTTCTTCAATACATTGATATTTGCGTTTATTTTTCCTTGTATTTGTGTGGACTTTGGGGCAACCATTTGATGGATTTAAATGCTGAAAAGGTATTTTACTTTTATACTACATTCATTTGTATGTTTTAGTTGAATTTGTTATAGATATTTTGTCGATGCGATTTGCCAGTATTTGAGCGCTTTTTGAAGCACTTTCACCTAGGAAATACATATTTATGAAAGCGATTATACATTCATTTTGACTCTGAAGATGACTACCGCTAAGGTTGTCGAAACGTCAGTCAACAACAACAAAAACAGTCCGTCTCAGGACTATACGTAACAGTGCAACTCTCATTTAATTCAAATATATATAATGTAAATTTATTTCATGTAGCACGTTTTGAAAGCATTATTTATACGTTGTTTATTTAATCGCTTTCATAAATATGTATTTCCTAGGTGAAAGTGTTTCAAAAAGCGCTCAAATACTGGCAAATCGCATCGACAAAATATCTATAACAAATTCAACTAAAACATACAAATGAATGTAGTATAAAAGTAAAGTACCTTTTCAGCATTTAAATCCATCAAATGGTTGCCCCAAAGTCCTCACAAATACAAGGAAAAATAAACGCAAATATCAATGTATTGAAGAAATTGTGTTGTTTCTCATTTGTTGACCAGAAAATAGTCGTATGTCACTCGTATGTACTCGTATGTTACTCGTAAGTACTTGTATGTTACTCGTATGTACTCGTATGTCACTCGTATGTACTCGTATGTTACTCGTATGTACTCGTGTGGTGTTTTAGTCACGATCGTTTAATCATAGCATTCCAATTTCTATCCAATCGGCATGCACAAACGACGCACAGTTCACCTTATATGGAGGTGAGTGCTTCAATGCTCAATCGATTCTCGTCAGTCATACGTTTTCATCATAAAATTAAAAGATAAATTCCTTGCCATTTTGAATGAAAACATTTTTTTGATTCTTTTAAATGTCTTCATTGTTTTGATTCTTTTGAGTTTTTATTGTCGATTTCAGTTAACTTTTCAAATGGCGGTTGCCAAGTTACTTTCTGATGTTGCCAACTACATTTCCAAATATGGAATATTCGTTATGAACTTGTCAACTTGAGTTGACAAGTTGTGTACTTGAGTAGTGAAGTTGGGAACTTGAGTACTGAAGTTGGGAACTTTAGTACTGAAGTTGTGAACTAAAGTTGCGAAGTACAAGCAAACGCGAAAGGTCTTTGTACCCTGTAGACATTTGGCAATGAATCCGTTCAGTAAGCAAGGAAAAGCTTTAGCAATTCTAATCCGTTTGCTGGAAGGCAAACTTTGTTATTTTCTAGGTGTTGCTGAATCTCTTTAGCGTAAATAGATGGTTTATTAATTTTTAGATATTCAGTGTATGCAATAACGTCATCTGTACTCGTGGTTCGAACATCACGTTCGCTCTGGCGAGGTGCAATAGAACCAGTGTCTACCCATAGATCTATTATATTTGAAATGTTTGTCAAACGCTCGTTATTTAACCACATTTCAAATATTTAACGTAATTTAACGTGCACTTATTTGTGTACGACTTTATTGTCTATTATATTTGATATAGTCTTATACGGTAGATTTAGTTGTTTCAAAATGTTTGTCAAACGCTGGTTATTTAACCACCTTTCAAGTATTTCATTTCTTACTTCTATTGGTAAAGCTTTTCCTTGCTAACTGAACGGATTCATTGCCAAATGTCTACAGGGTAAAAAGACCTTTCGCGTTTGCTTTTACTTCGCAACTTTAGTTCACAACTTCAGTACTAAAGTTCCCAACTTCAGTACTCAAGTTCCCAACTTCACTACTCAAGTACACAACTTGTCAACTCAAGTTGACAAGTTCATAACGAATATTCCATATTTGGAAATGTAGTTGGCAAAATTAGAAAGTAACTTGGCAACCGCCATTTGAAAAGTTAACTGAAATCGACAATAAAATGCTTTTTGATTAAAAGTATGATACGTTGTTTACTCAACCGAACAATCGTCCGCATGTTTACAAACGTAGAAACGGACAATATTATAAAACTGTAGTTTTGTTTCCATTATTTCCTTTATAACATTTTGATAGAACCTTTTTTCCGATGATTCTGTGCGACTGCGATAAAATCATGTATAGTTATCGGAAAGAGCAAACGTTTCATCATATTCATAATTCATATTTCATGGTTGAACTCGCACCATGCGTTTAAATTATTTTGACGTTTTGTTAAATCCACACCGATATTTCAAGTAATAGTAAAAGCTCTAACGAAAATAAATACATGCTTACACTATATTTTGCTCACCGTCTGAGCATAGAGCGCAAGATAAAAAATGTGAACCGAGCTGGCTAAATACGGCACGGTGAATCGATTTCATGTGTTTTCGCCAAACGAGATATGTGTAATTGATGTCGGTAATCACTCGATTTTGGTATCTACTGTATAACGTTGTTTAGGCCGCATATCTATTCGGATTCCAGACATTTAAAATCAAAGAGAAACTGACAGGAGTTCCGAAAGGTTCTACCTTATTGTGATTGTTCTTCCCCCCTCATTCCGTAAAAATCCCCCCCGGAAATGTTAACAGACAGAACGACACAAATCGAGATTTTACCTCTATATAGGTCGAGTAGAGGAATGGGCCGAGACATGTCAAGATTAGTGTGCTGCCACGCTGATGCATGGCAGCAATTAGCGGAAAGCTAATCTGTTATGAATAGCGCAACTTACAAGATGCTTTATAATAACGAGAAAAATATAAATTTTTGAACTGAAACTGAATGTGATCTTGAGAAACGTGTGAAGATGTTTATAGATCGTCACAAAGATTTCATGCGGTTTTCATGGCTTAATTAAAACATAATCTAAAACTGCTTGCTGTTCGCACACCGTTTTAAAAGATTATTGAGCAGTAAAAGAAAATTTATGGTTTACTGATTGAGAAAGACGATCTGTAAGGCTACTAATAACTTGCGGTTTCTCTTGCATAAAAGGGAATAAACAACTACAATTTTAAAAGTATAGTTTTTCACAGACGATTTTTTTATTGTGAAATATTCTGTCTAATGCGAAAAGTTGTCCATCCACAACAAAATTCGCGGTAAAAGAGATTAACCACATATCAATGCTTAATAAAAAGTGAACTTGGAAGATTAGAGAAAGCTGTTAAGGCGTGGCACGGATCGAAAATTTAAATTTTTTTTATGAATTCAAACTAGTGTAATGAATATGAATGAATTAGATTGGTTTTGCAATAAATTTAAATTGACGTTGCAGTTTTGCAGCAGCCCCATGGTGGCTGTTTCTTTTGTCTATATTACATGTGTTTTATAATAAAGTGAAAAGTGTCGTCGTCTCTACAGTTCGCATCATATCTATCAATTAAAGTAAATTTGGATTGTGAGATAATGACTTCCCACATGTCTCATTTTGCTTCCTTTGAACATAACACTTTTTATATTTAGTTTGATGAAGCAGCCATTGGCAATGAACTTTTAACATGCAATTGGCATAGAAGAAAGCGATCCGTTTTCAAACTGTGAATTTGTTAGTTTATGGAAAGTATTGGTGGTTTTCATATGCATCATGCTGATGGACTCCTTACAAAATAATATCATTGGATTCCCTTTGCTCTTAGGCGACATGGTGGATGCCCTTTCTTTGTTTGTTATTCCTTGAGACACACATGAAAACCAAGAATTGCTGTTTTCAAAATTATAATTAATGTTTGCTTGATGAGGTGAAGACAACAAAGAGCGACTCGCAGTTTTGGCAGAAAAACGTGTAAAGTAAATTTGGAATGTGAGATATATTGACGTCGGACATTTCTCGTTTTGCTTCCTTTGCAACATAACGCTATTTATATTTCGGCAAGGTCACAATTCGTTTCTTGAAGTTTGGTGAAGAAGCCGTTTTTAATGAAAGCGATGTGGTAAGTTTATGTTATGTTTCTATATCTTTAGATGATTCTTGGCTCGATGTTTTTCTTCAATCATATTTAGCAGATATATTCACCAACAACTTGATTTTCACGTTTGCTAGCGTCAGGAATACGTTTAAAAAAGGTATTGCGATGAAAGTCATCTCATAAAATCTATTGTATTTAATTATTGGTACTTAGGTGTGTGAAATGTAATCTTTGGAGTTAGTGCATAAACTCTAGTTTTGAGTATGAGGTGCATGAAATATAGTGTTTGCAAGCTAATTGTGTGAATTATAGTGTTTATGAGTTAGGGGCAGGAAGTATAGTGTTAGTGAGTTACGTGGATTCATTATAATATTTGTGATTTAGGGGCATAGACCATAACAGTCAGGAGTTATGTTCATGAACTCTAGTCTTATGGTGTTAAGCAGGGTGCGAATTAGTTGAGAAAAAACGGTGTGCAAATTTTTTCGACAAAAATTTTTCTCCAGAGGCATAATCAAATGATATCACAGTAATTATTATACTGCACTATTTACTAAATTAACATTTTTAGAACGTAATATTTTTATAACATTTTATCAACGTATACATTTTACAAGTTATCATGTTATAGTACACGACTAGTTACTTTCTGACGAGTCTTGGTCCGAAAAATAAGAATGTTTGCTGCAGCTTGATGCCTCTGACGTATCGA